CATCCCAAGCACTGTCCAAGACTGCTGGTTGAACTAAACTAACAACGAAATCCTGCTCAGCATTATAACCGGTATGGAGAAACGGCAATACTTGCCGATTAACAATGTAATCGATGATACGAAGATCCTGAGAGTAACTTAGACTCGTGTTGCGGTCTCCAATCTGCTTTTCAGTGTCCAGCCAACGAGGATTCGAAAGACTGTTTTTATCAAGCGTCTAGTCCGGCAAGCCAAGTTGAGGTCCTTTCTTCTTGTGACTGGATCCTCAGCTTTGCATTGACAAAGAAATTCCCGAAAAGGAACTTTGGACTTGAAAATAGTGTTCCAAACAGCAACTGTAATACTGTATAGCGAGCTGCATCGGTGAAAGCTTCATTCACGCCTTTTTTATAGTCGACAATGGACATGTAATAGTCGTAACTTTCTAGGTAGTACTTGAACAAATTTGGCAATTGCATTCGTCGGGCAAGAAGAAGCAAGACCAGCAATAGCTAATTGGCCGTAAATTATGTCTTTCGGATCAGAGACTCCTGCATTTCGTCAGGAAACCAGGATGCTCGGAAGGGAAGTTGTATCCCCTCCCCAATCAAGCTCCGCTGGTTTCGACAAGCCTTTTAGCTGGCGATAGAGCATGGTTGAATTTGTTTATGTCCTCAGATAGTCTCTTCCACCATTTCTATTGTCACCATCATGCTCAACGGACCGCACAAGGTTCGATAAATCTGTACGAAGACTTCCTTTTCTAAACCAATTCTTGATAAGTCTAAACCCGTTGAACCACGGCACGGATTTGAAACGATATCGGACGGCAACCGTATGCACTTTCGACACTACATATGCCAATTCCTGACCTAGATTGTACAAAATAGCACCAAAGATGCCTCGCTTGCTCCGTGCAGTTCCCGAGACATATCAAGGTTTGGAGCGCATAGGTATATATCTCTTTCATTAAGCCAACTTGCCGGCTGCGTTCAGCGTCATATCTCTGGTCGATACAGATCGTGTCTGCCCATAATCAAAGGGGACTGTCATCATGGCGCAGATCTTCCAGTGTAGCAGTCAGGGTCATGGTCACAGAGATTCTTCGATCATTGACCAAATCATCTACTGATCCTTCTAGGGCCTAGACATATGTTAATATTTGGGCAGAATAGCTGCGATTAATATTCAAGCGACATTCTTTGAAAGGTGTATGGATAAGGCTGCAGTAAATAATCGATCCAGAATCACCTAGATGAATCACCAAGAGGCGAATTGCACCGGGCTGCTCGGGATCGAGGTTTGAGTGTTTGTATTCCTCGGGGGTCATTTCTGGCGTTATGATGTTGATTGTTCCGATGCTTGATGTAAATTTCGCGAGGTCAAAGGCTGTAATGCGGCCGGTCAATCATAGTATGTAAGATTTAATCTTGCGCGTCTGGTCCAACATTATGTTGTGCAACCACTCACTGTATATACCAGCCACGCCTCTATATCCAATCGTAGACGAAATGGGGTGCCTCATAACGCACAATCATACCATGGAATTTGTTACTTGAAAACTTCCAAATCCAGAAATGATCCGGTATCATGGCACTTGATTTGCTTTTTCGATCGTGCATCGTGAAATTGAACGACGGGGACAAGTACTACTCAGTACACATGGCATAGCCACTACATCAATGAAACGATCGACAGCCAATTAATCATGGTCGCAATATTGTGTGTTAGAAACGTCCCAATTTGCCGTGGGCTTACTCAAGAGTTAAGACAAATATTTCCTGGAAGTCCTGTAATGTACTCGATAGTTTATGTATACTTGAATTACGCGAGTCATGTGATGCACCACTTGTAGAAGCCGCTTGAGTCATGGTTAGCCCCACCAACCAAAATTCATTCCACCACATCGCCACATCATCTATTTTCATCCACTTTTTACCTCCATTGACTCCTTGGGTTATAGATATGAGAATCGCCACTTCCGACATCAAATAACAACCAATCAGGTCGCTTAGCTCAGCTGGTTAGAGCGTGGTGCTAATATCTACTCCGTAACAAGAGTTGTTTCCAAACGCCAAGGTCGTGAGTTCGATCCTCATAGTGATCATTAATATTTTGCCCTCCTTCTGGGCATTCTTTTGATGTAAGAATAATTGCAATTAGTCAACAAGTGAAGAAGTTGTGCGGGTTTGAAATTTGGGGGTTGGAGGGGTTCGTTCGTATGTATATTTTTTTTGGACTTATGGGAATCTACGGAATAATCTTTGACGATCTCTTTATCGCTATCTTTATGAATCTTTTGTCCTGATCCTTTTATCTCGGATTCTGGAGGTGTGGGTTGTGGTAATGTGGTACGAGAAATGAGTAGTTTAATTGGGTGAAGGTGAAAACTTTTCTTCCTAAGTGGAGAATTACCGAACGAACGGATGGCGGGAGTGAAGTGAGAATTTTCAAAGTGGGGTAAAGTGAGTAACCTGAGAATTTTGGGAGAGGTTGAATGATTGAATCCTATGGTGATGTTGAGTTATATGGATGTTTGTTGAACTGAATTTCAGGTACTTAAGAGCCTGAGGAGGTAGTCTGGCTTTAAAAACAACATGGTGATACTGTACGTACAGTACATTGTCTGCTACAGTATTTTGTTCTTCAGATCGATCACATAAAATCAACCTAACTAATCCAGTACAAAAACTTCACATCCACTCATACCCCTCTCACCCATCCACTCTCACCCATCCACTCCCACATCTCATCTGTTACACCTTCACATTCTCAGCTTCACCTCTCTTTCTCCCTTTTCAAAAGCAAAAAATCCACCTACCCTCCTCAAAAGCAGCTTGATATCTTCCAGCTCAAAAGGTACGTGTATGGAAGAGTCCACACAGTCAAAAGGTTAATGAATACGGGCCTAATCCGGGATTGAACCGGAGACCTCTTACATTTTAGATTAAACAACCCAAAGCAAGAATTCTACCACTGAACTATCAGGCCATGATATTTAGTCATTTTCGATGGAGGGTTGGGCTCACGTGGGTAAATATACAGCTAATTAGTGAGATTATAGACGGGAAGTTACACTAAGTCATTTTCGATGTAGGGAGTAGCTTATGTGGGTCAATATACAGTTTGGTTGTTGAGGGTGGATGTGCAAGAAAGGGGGGGGGGGGGTCAAGGGGGCGTCTCGGCAAACAGGTGTAAAGGACTAACGACACCACAAAATGCAGGAACATAATAAAGAATGGTTGTTTGATAATTGTTAAGATATCATTCAAAGTTATCTATTTGAGTAATATCTCAGGTGATATACCTCCATCCCAGCGGAGGGGTTTCACTGTAGTTGTTCTACTTTGCCCTCCTTCAGCTTGTATATCTCTATCCTCCTAGCGGACAGATTTCATTGCGATTATTCTCAAATCACGAAATGCAGGGATATAATTAAAGAAAGGAGTGGTTATTTGTTTATTCTTGAGATATTATTCATAGCTATTATCTCAGGTCATACACAAAAATCTAGTTATTAAGAATATAGATATAGATACTACGAGTAGATTAATATTATAAGAATCAAACAACTCTATCCTCTCAGCGGAGAGATTTTACTTCGATTATTCTTTTTTGCCCTCCCTCAGATCTTAGACCTTTATCCTCCCAGCGGAGAGGCTTTATTGCGGTTGTTATCCTTTGCTATCTTACTTCGCATATTATGAAGGAACATAATAAATAGTAGAGTTTTTATTTGTTTATTCTTGATATATTATTCACAGCTATCTGTTTAAATACTATCTCAGGTCATACACCTTCATCCTCTCAACGGAGAGGTTTTATTGAAGTTGTTCTTCTATGCTCTCCTACTTCGCATATCGTGAGGAACACAAGAAAGAATAGAGTGGCTATTTGTCTATTCTTGAGATGTTATTCATAGCTATCCGTTCATTTGAATACTATCTCAGGTAGTACACCTTCATCCTCACAGCGGATAGATTTTATTGCGTTTATCAACTTATTCTACCTTGCCCTCCCTCAGGTCATACACCTTCATCCTCCCAGCGAACAGGTTACATTGCCATCATTCTCCTTTGCTCTCCCACTTCACATCATGATCATGAACGATGCATATCAGACCCTTGTTATTGAACACCCCAAAAGCTCAACGCCTTAACACCCAACGAAAACCCCAATCAAACTCCTTTCCCCAAACATGCTCCAGCTTTCCTTATCAATTTTTCCCAATAACCACTCCCAAACCACATCCAAAACCCCTACCATTCTACATCCATCCCATCTCCATCCACTCCCTCCTTCCCACTTCCACTTCCAACCCCCTCCCCTCACTTCTTCTCCTTCAACTCCTTACACTTCGCACAATTACCACACCAATCACCCACCGCCTGCAAATACTGACCCGGATTCTTACAATTCTGCTTATATCGAACCGCATCATTGCATTGATCAAAGCGGCTCTGGAATTCGTATTGACAGAAGCGGTAGTAGTACATGTATCGAGTGCACATTTTGTACGTAAGGGTTGGTTTGTTGTGGGGCTTGATTTAGACGGGTGTTGAGGGTTGGACGTGAGTTTTGTGTTGAAGGTATGGAGTGGGACGTTTGGATGTCGATGATGAGTTAGATCTGAAGGGTCGGAAGACTTGGAATTTGGAGGTGTTTGAAAGTTGTATTTTTGGCAGGCCGACGATGAGGAGGAAGTTGAAGAAACTGACCGATATGTCTCGAAGTTGGATGTATTTGATTTGGGAATTTGTGAGTTTGGTTGTGGTCTTGATGGCTTTTTAAAAGGAGGGACTTTGGAATACTTTGATTGAAATTTGATTCATAAATTGATTGAGCAAGTTCTTAGATTGCGAATTAATCACATTTTGTATTGATTGTGTTCTTGTATAGTCACCTGTTCACCGTACTAAAATTGCATATTAAGATATATAATTGCGAATACGGTTTGATTTGATTTCAATTCACCTATCATACTTTATTTTCCACAACTCCCAACTCATCCAAACAAGCCCTTAAAAATAAATCAACAAAGCCTCACTCGCCGCAACTGTAAAGCTTGCCGTACCTGCACTTCCTACCGTTCCACTTTCAAACGTTTCTTTCCCCCCAATAACACAAGTCCCATTAGCAACGATCTGTCCCCCAAACGACGGATTAGATCCCTGATCAACCCTACTCAACGCACCCCCCGCCGTCAACCTCTTAGCCTTCGTGGCTTTTCCAGCTGTTAGCCCTCTGAGGACAAATGTTTCACTACCTCTTGTTCCTGTCCCGTTAAAGTAATCACTATTGATCAATACTGCTTTGGATGGGACTTTGTTACTATTATATAGTACATAAATACCATAGTTTGTATTTCCAGAATCGACTTGTTGGATGTAGGAGGATCCAGCGAAAGCAGCTGCTGCGAGCCAGGCTCCGTAATAAGGAGCACCAGCATCGTATCGACCCCACCAACAGTAGTAACAGGCACCGATGGTTCCATGATGATAATAGATGGTAGTGATATTAAGTGTGGTTGCTTGAAGAGTATAGTCGAGGGTCCAGATGGCTGCACCAAAAGTTGGTGATACAGTTGCCGCACCACCTCCAGCAACTGGTGGAGCTTGTTAGATTTTTCATGACTTTTACTTCTGATTCTTTGAGTGTTTCTGGAGATTAAGGAGAAGCAAAAAGAGTGTAAGAAAGGAGTTATACAAACCAGAATTCGTTTCCCCCAATACATATTCCTTCCCCACAGCATTGGCAGCCTTACCATCCGTCCCAATCGGTGCCAGATTACTAACAATCCCACTGTGGCTCATCAAACGCTGAAGAGTACCTCCTGGATAATTATGATGTGCATAATCTCTGACATAAGTTCTTACAGTGACATTTCCACTAGCGATAAGTTCGGCGGCTCCCCAAGTTGGTGGTGAGGCGTTTGAGTTTCCGGCTTGAATGATATTGGTGGATTGGAGGGCGGTTCCAACTTGTATGTCCCAGGTGTTTTGGGACGCAGCGTCGATAGTAGGGGACCAGGAGGGGGATGCGATGGGTTGGACGCCGGAGTAATCTGGTGAGATGGGTCAAATGGGTATCTGGTGTGATATGGAGATAGACATACATTCTGGTTCATTGCCAAGTTCAATGGCTTTCAAGTTTCTCATACTACCTTTTGCAGATTGTGCTGCGGCAATGGTATTTGAGATATCATTATGGCCACGATTAAGTCCTTTGTTATCCACAGGTCAACTAAAAGATCCTTTCACTCTCAGAGTCTAAGAAAAATAAAGTACTCGTATACCTAATACAACAGTGCCAGGATATGTAGAAGCAAGTTTCATAAGATTAGGACCAAATGTCAACGAAGCCGGTGCGTCGACAGGTGACTTAACAGTATAGACAACATATGCACTTGTACTCGGATCATAGGTTGCACGATCTCTATCAATATCAGTCAATCCCAGTAGCATTTCATTATTTGACAATTAACATACTGCGTAGTACCACCAATCCGAATAGGAGGCCATGTTCCACTCAAATCTTTAAAGTTCGCCAAACACTGGTTTGTGGCAGTAACATTTATGAAGTATGAGGGGTATGCAAAGAATTCGAACCTGGTAGAATGTCAATAAATGGCCACTTGATTGGGAAGGAATTGGAGAGAAATTGAGAAACAAGCATACGATAATCCAACAGGAGCAGGAGCAAGCTTTGCTGCACTGGTAGGTGCTGTAGAAGGTACTGTATAAGTCACCGTGGCAGCTTGCACACAAAGAGGTAACAATAACCAAGAAATTTCCTTTAAGAAAGTCATCATGAACAAATTAGCAAGAATTACACAATACAACTCAAATTCATTCCCGTCTGAATTCCCAATATAAGAGAAAAGATTGCCGTCATATACCGGTACTTATATCACCTCTCATCACACCTATCTCATTATGTACCTGCATTCTTCTCTGACCCCAGCACCGTACCATACAGCGAGCATCTCAAAGCTGTCGGGCCCAATTACCCCGGATTTCCTTGGATCGTTTTAATACAGGGTAACAAATACAAACCTTTCAACCGTACAAATAAAGTTACTTGTTGATATTGAATAATGAAGATCATCAATTTTTCTGCAAATATCAAAGTGCGGGGTGTTCGGAGGTAAGTTCGAATTCGGTTGTGTTTATCCGGACAAACGATAAATGGATTGCCTATTTTAGGCTCTTCCCGCAATTAATCCTCGAATAGATTACTTACAAAAGATCGATGGATATAAAAGTAGTAAGACCCTACATGAGTGGTACAAAGCCGAGCCACGCTCGGGGAACTTGTTGCTGGTATCATCGCAGTGTCAACTCAAGCCACTTACTTGATCGCCAAGTAAACTTCACAAACTTCGTGAGACGAGTGAAAGGTCTAATCGCTCCGAGTTCAGTCTTGAATCTATAATTGGAAATCTTGGATTTTATTCTCAAACCTCCACTCGATTGATGTGCTTAAGCTCAATAATTCTTAGTTCTTTCCTATGGTGAAACCTGGTCATATGTCACAGCCCCCCTCAAAGAACCGAAGGAAAATTTGTTTGAAAATATACCTACCCATCAGTGGTCCAGTCGGAATTTGACAAATGCATAATCATCACATGATTGAAAACACATAGATCGTTTTTTTGGTGAGGGACCCTGTGGTACCGGTATCTATTTATTCAATGAAAGAAATCTGTAATATTGACAAGTAAACTCCACCCGTCCAGTTCTATACCGGTCCGATTTACTTTTAGTCTATAACCTGTATCCTAATATAATACCAACGCCCGCTATGCTATGCTACGCTAATTAGATCTGAGGGCCGTCAACGTCCCGCGGTCGGCTTTTGTAGAGAATGACTTGACTGTACACCTTATCGCTAACCCTTTCATTATGTCCAAGATTTGGATTAAATTTATTCAATGAGCATCCTCATCCTTCCCTGGCCACATTATCTTCTTTTGTGAAACGGCTTTAATATGACCGAATACAATCAACAGCCATAACACGAATAAGACAACTCCCATTCCTGTTCCTACTCCCTGTATTGGTGGACTGTCCAATCTTTCTCCAATCTTGATGGTTGCGATGGTAAATCCCACATTTGGGAATACATATGCATACCAGTTTAGATGGAAATCATTCCTGGAAAATGCTTCAATTGCTGCAAAAGTTGCGATGGCGAAGAACCAAAATGCAAGAGCCCAAAGGAAGATTGCTGATAGGAGAGCACCGAGTTGTAACATGTCTGGAATTGCATCTGGGTTGGTAATGCCTGGGAGCTTGTAGTATTCGGTAAAGACTTTCGTAACTGTCGCATCTTGAGCCATACCAATAAGTGCAAGAGCTGTGAAAGATGGTGGTCCAACTGCAATGAACATAGCAGGTCGAGATGCATCGGCAGGAAGTCCAGAAGTAAGAAGACGACCGAAATAAATTCCATACATCATGATGGCCACGATCATTCCAAGACCTTGAAATGTGAGACCGGCCACCAACATTTGTGCCGCAGATTCTACAGGTTGTGTTTTGGCGATGGCGGATGCAAGAGTACCGACCAACATGGCAGGGAAGATTGGAAGAACCCAACCAGGTAGAACATTGGTAATGACGAGTTTCTTTACTGTAAAGAGGACGTGGTAGTAAACGATGGCGAGAAGCGTGGCGCAAGCTGTATAGATCCAGAAAGCCCATCGAAGAGCACCGATGATCCACGGGCCAGTGTTTGGAATACCGTATGCTGTAGTGTTCGTCATCATTGTGGCTAAAGTGAGCCACCCGGTAGCAAAAAAGAATCCTTCATGCGGATTCGTGAATGAATGTTTAAACGTTCCGGGGTGAATTATAAAACGAGCGATCATGAGTGCGGTGATGGCCAAAAATACCATGATGTTGATGACGAAAATGGCTTTGCCTAGTGTGTTGATTGCATCCGACTCGATAGGGATAACCGAGAGAGTGAAAGCTACTCCTCCTGTTGACATTGTACATGCATACCAAGCTTTGGATTGTTAGCCTTGCGAAATATGCGAGTCCTGGAGCTTAGGTACCTACCATAAGTAAAATGTTTTAAACGCTCCGAAAAAGTGAGTGTCAGAATAGGTTCTTCTCTCTCTGGCAATTCCTTGAGGGCAATTTCGCCATCAACTTCTCTAAATTCTCTCCCGACAAAACTTTCAGTCGATGACTCTGGAGAAATCATTTTGGCTGTGGTGGACTGAGCCAGCAGTCTATATTGTCAGATTTTTTATGAGGATACGAATGTTGGAACGTGCGGATGAAGAGATAATGAGAGACAGATAGGTAAACACAGATGGTTTCAACTACTTATTTCGTTGAGAACAGCGGATTGTATTGTATTGATGTTCCACTGAAGTTAGGGGAAGTGACTCTGGGGAAGCAGTTGACAGATGTGGGATAACGCCCTCATTTTGAATATCTCCAGATCATGGATACTGGAGGCAAAAATCTCCTTGTAGTGGAGCCGCATTTGTCTCATAGTCACTACCAAGGACCCAAGATGTCGAAGATATAACTAAAACGACCCACATAGAGCTCTCAAAGGCCAAGTTTGTCGTAACACAAAGGAAACAACGAAGATTTTTCCCGAAGCCGAAAAAAGTGGAATACCAAGAGATAAGAACTTCAGATGAAGAGCCTCAGTTGGGTTTTCAGGGAGACAATATTCAGTCCAAGAGATGATCATTAAGCTCCCGGTACTTTAAACTCATTGGAGCTAAGTAAAGTTCAACTGCTGAGCCTTGGCTTCAAGGAACCTCGCGGTTGGCACTCAGGCTGAGCAAACATCCTAAACCCAGCTATAAATGAGTTATTTTAGGGACTCAGGGACTCAGGGACGACTCAATGCTCCATAACATTCCGATCATGTCCATGCCACAGGAAGATGTTTTAATAATGAGTTTACCTTTATAGAAGAGTATACGTCGCCCCATGGAAGGTCAAGAATCGAGATGAAGAGCTGTACCGGTAAACGTGTTGACCCAGACTTGGCCGGGACGTCCAGCTCCAGTTAAATGTCCAGCGACAACCACTGAGCTCATTACATGATACTAGAAGTCAGATATTTATATCACCAACGGCAGCTAAAATGCCAAGAGATCTTCGCACAAAAACCGAAGAAAATATAAAAATAGTACCGGGATTGTGCCTATACTTCGGTAGTGATTTAGCAATGCCGCGATATTCCTGCCACTGCTAGCAGATCTACAGTGAATTGAGTACTTTCTCTCAATGTAATTGGATATAGGTACCTCCTATGAAAGATTTCGTCAAGATGGGATTCGTCCTTTGGTGGTCTGGATTGATGAAATTGCGCCCAGAGAAGATAGGATTGATGATGACGAAGCGCCACTGAGGCGCCTTGGGGGTTAGGCTATGTAGACAATGGGTTAAGCTTGGCGATCTAATTCGATAAGATATGATCGTCAATGATCAATTTCTCGACTCCTGTAAACTTTTGAAGAATTCGGTCGCGCTATAGTATAGCCATGAATCATGAATGGTAGGAAGTTGATAGCTATATGAGATGATGATATGGGTCTAGAATGTCTAGCATGAAAAGAGTTCTCATTCAACAAAACGTTGCAGAATGAATGGATGGAAACCATGTTTTGATGTTTTGATGTTTTGATGTTTTGAATCTTGAGCTTTGGTTTGAGTTGCAGAGCTAGGAAATACGCTAAACGCGAATTAGATAAGCGCCATACTGTAACGAATCATATCTAGCACGTGATGTAGCCAATATCATGACAATTTGAATGAAAGGCCTTTTCTTCCTCTCTTTCGTTTCAGCATTCGTTCAATTCCCCTCAATGCTCAAGATCCCCGCCATAGTTTCGGTTCTATTTCTGTCTCGATTTCATACTTGATATGGAAAGTATAATAAACATGTTCTCGAGCTTTTGTCGGAAAATGAGGAACCGGTACCGACATGATAAGATCAATAATGCAGGGGGAAAATAGCCACAAACCTGCATGCGGGGAAATGATTTATACAACCTTACTAGAGCATTGTATCAACCTTGGTACCCGTGAGTCTTATTGTATCTCCTCTGGAGTTGAAAATAGTCACAATATTGCACGTGGACCTGAGTTAGACTCAATCTCAGTGTCATACTCCATCGAACAATGAGAGAGTTCTCATGTTGTGTGGTTGTTGAAATTTGTACGAAAGTATTGAGTAATCTTTCGAGAATTATCCCATGGCTTCCACTTTCGTTCTCCGAGGACCCGGACAACTTCATAATTTATGTGATATTGATGTGCCTATTTTCTCATCACGGGATCTTCCAACTTTGCGGTTAAAAGAATGACACTTCGACATCAAATTTGTGCCTTGTGTTTTTACTCGTACAGGTGTGTTTACCCGTACTTTGAATTGGCTGCATTCGGTTTCCCCTTGGGCAACGAATGCGGTGGCATATCCACTTTGGAACCAAACAAGCAGGCTTCGTATCATTGGAGCGCCAAAAAGAATGTTTGGCTCAATACGGCAGGTTGGATTTTGGTGTAGGTATCGTTGCCGGTGATCACTGCGGGACTTTAAGCTTGATTGATTCAGGGCACGAGCAGATATCATTAATTCAATCTTCGATCCTGGATTTGGCACCTTCACCGAAGCATTTAGGAGTGAATTCTTTATAAGGATGCTTTGATCCGAATTCGAATGTTAATTCTTGTCCACAGTACATTGACAAGCTTGAACATTCATAATGCTTTTCACTGTCTTTTCACTATTTTCCTTTTGGAGCAATTGCGTACTGGCTTCTCTTCAGATTGTATGAAAAGTGTGTGCTTGATTCCAATACAAAGGCTTACAAGTTGCCAGGTACCAGGTGCAACATGGACAGCTTCTGGATTAAATCAACATATTCAAGCCCATGGTGGTGGAATTATCCAAGTGGGGTCGACCTAGTCAGTAACAGCTCCCCGAGTACGATTAAAAACTAACCACCATTGGTCACAGTTATTGGGCCGGAGAGAATAAACTCAATGGAGGTGCTTTCCAATCGATCAATTGCTACTCAAGCACTGATCTCGTGAATTGGAAATTCAATTCTTATCTTCTCACACTCCAGTCGTCGGGTGATTTGGGGCCCAACCGAGTTGTGGAACGTCCACACATAATATACAATGCCGCAACCGCTAAATATGTTATGTGGATGCATATTGATGATTCGGGTTATGCTGAAGCAAAGGCTGGTGTAGCAACTAGCAGCAGTGTTTGTGGGACTTATACATATTTGTAAGTTAATATATTGAATTATGGCAATGGGGATGATGGTCTGTAACAGACTTCAATGAACAATGAGACTGATGAAGAATAAAACAGAGGAGCAAGCCGGCCGTTGGGCTATCAAAGCAGAGATTTGAATGTGTACAAAGGTATGGAGCCACGCCATTCCGTAATTCCTCCATCGCTAATGAGAAACCAGATACCGACGGAACAGGTTATCTATTGAGCGAAGATGTACTTATCCATTGCCACTCGTTCTGTTCCGTGTTAAACCAGCTCTAATTATGATATAGCGAGCAAATGGCCTCCGTATCGACAAGCTCTCCGCGGATTATACATCGGTTGTCTCAGCTGTTTATCTCTTTGCTGACTACGAGGCTCCCGCCGTATACAAGAGTGGCAGTACTTATTTTATGTTTGCCAGTCACTTATCAGGCTGGGGTATGCATGTCATTTTCATTCTTGTTCGCCTTTTCTGGTGCTCTGAACGCAATTGTTACTCCAAACTCCAAAATACCTGGGAGAATAGTCTACAACTTCTGGAATGTTTAGTGGTTATATGACTAACAACCTGCTCACAATAGCCCCCAACGACAATGTATACGCTACAGCAACGAACTTGGCAGGGCCTTGGTCTGCTTGGGCTACTTTTGCAACGGTCGGGACTAATACTTTTAATAGTCAGACGGCGGCTGTGGTGAGTATCAATGGGGTTGTCATGTAAGTTTCTGTTTTCTTCATCTTCGGGCTTGGAAGATACGCCGAGATTATTGGTTGTATATAGTGCTTACTCAATGTAGGTACATGGGAGATCGATGGCAGTCATCCAATCTTATGACTTCGACTTACATCTGGTTACCTCTAACAATATCCGGAACGAAGGCAACTCTTGTATGTTACCTGTTATCTACAGGCATTGCACAGAAGCTAACATGAACAGACCAATGAAGTAAACTGGATTATCAACCCATCAGCAGGAACATGGATCGCCGGTCCTAGCGAAACCATGCTGGAAGCTGAAGCCACCACGAATACCCTGGCCAACGGTGCTATAGCCATCACATGTTCCGGATGTTCAGGTGGCTCCCAAATCGGATATATTGGAGGACCAAGTCCTGGCGGCACATTGACCATGAATGGAGTGAGTAGTTCTGTGGCAACTACCACCTCGATTCGCATTCATCATACGAATGGCGATTCAACGCAACGTTATGCAAACGTGGTGGTCAATGGAGTCAGCAATATCATTGCATTTTTGCCCACTACTAATGGCAATACACCTGGTACAAGCATCTTGACGACAGCACTGAAAAGCGGAACTGCAAATGTTATTGAGTTTAAGTCTTATAACTCTGGATGGGGTATGTCCATAATATTCATTATTCATAACTCATTATTCGTCATTAACAAGGCAATGTACCTATTGGAAGCTAACACATGATGCAGCCCCGGATATCGACCGTATAATGGTTCCCGTATCGTAAGCAGTGAACCTTTCTTGTAGGAAAAAAAGAATGTCATGGGTTCCCCGCATGTCCAACATTAATTTTCTTCTTCTCTATCCTCAAAGCCTTATAGCTCTCACTCAGCAAATCAATCGGATCACTATTTCCCTTCCTAAAACTCTGCATTACCCGTCCAGGCAATGAATATTTTCTTCTCAAAACCTTCCTATTCCCCCAAACCTCCCATCTCCCTCTAATCATACTCCTCGAAATAAGACTCACAACACTCGTCGGCGGCATCGGCGCATTCGTACAAATCTCCCTCAACATTTTCTCTAGCCCCTTAAACATCCCCGGATCCACTACCCGCAAGTGCGCTAATTCCTGCCTTGTCTGTATGATTGCCGTTTCGGTCGCATACTCATATTGACAGCCCATCATCCTAAATCTCAAATACTTCGCCAGCACCGTCGAGCACAGCAGTGCCAATTCCCCATTCATATGGGCCACCATCTTCCCCGTGCGATAATGACACGGAATCTCCACCGTCGTAATCGCCTTCTTCCTCAACGCGAACGTCCCCACCTGAATCTCCAACCGCGAAAATTCCCCCCACCCCTCATCCGCCGCCTCCCTCTCATCCACAATACTACTGGGCGAAATATACACCCACACATAACCGGTCGCACACGCACACAATGAATACACGGCCCCATCACTCATATTGACCTTTTGATAGAAAGCCGCACATCCATGGGCTTTGATATCCGCAAAATTGGCCGTCAACTCACTCCCGAATTTCGAGAGGATACTCTCGTCCGTCACATTGATGTCCGGCATGCAGATCCCCGAATCGTTGTTGCGCCTGATGTAGAAGATGGGTTGCGTCATGAAGCCCGAATCGATGGTGCGCGCGTTGTGCACGCGCCGGATTTGCAGGTTGGGGGCGCAAACTATGCAGCAGCTCGGTTAGCGATTGGTGATGGGTTTCGCGAATCATGCTCGAGATAGAGGGTGAACGCATGTACTTATACTTGTGGTGGTTCTTACATTCGGTGGAAACGAGGGCTTCTTGTATCAAATCGGGTAATTGGGCGAATACTCGCTCGTTTTGCGAATGTACGTCGATTATCGATGGTGTTTTATCGCGACTTGTTACTAGAATTTCCTCTTCTTCTTCTTCACTGATGGTGCTGGTGCTGGTGCTGGTGTTGGCGCTGGTACTCATGTTTGCAAGATTGTGTTGGTTTCGTTCGATACTCTTGCTACTTTGATATATAATTTCACATTTCCCCAAAAAATCATGAATTAGAAATCTTTGGGTAGAGGAACGGAGGAGATGTGAATTGATATACGAGTATGACATAGGTAGAAATCTCATACAGTATATAACCGATGACTTCCAAGCCTCCCTCCCTCCATCTCTGGATTCATCACCTACAGTACGAGTAGTCTTACATCTATATAAACACACACACTATACTGGTACTCCGTATGTACGTACATACCCAAACCAAGAAATGAACCCCGCCCATCGTGTGAAGCATCAAATATAGCATCAAAGAAAAACCAGCCCGCGCAGCCCATCTCGTATCTCGTATTAATCCAGCCGATCCTCCTTTCCCCCCCTCACCACGGGTGCCACCTCGTGTTTTTATTTTGGCGAGATGGCTGGCTATATTTAGAATGCTGTTCATTGGGGAAACCGTTAGGATAGATACGAGAGCTGCTACCATGATTTTGGGATTTCCCTGCTTATAAATTGTGGTACATATATGAAACGTACTAAATGTGAATTGTATATGTATATGTATGTGATCTTTAAGGCGGGAGTTTCTGTATGGGTATTTGCATGGGTAGTAAGAGATTGTAATCGCAGACTTGATGGGAGGGGAGGAAAAGTTGAGATAAGATAAGATACATAATACATCAATAACTCGTAGGGCTCCGATGGGGATTTACAAAGTATCTATTAAATATTAATATATCTCGAGTCTAGAACTTATGGTTATAATGAAAAGGAATAAATGAATAACTACCAACTACCTAGTAAATATATGAGTGCTCAGAGGCTACTAGCACTCACTCACTCTGTCTCTGGCTATTTGCACAACTAGGTATCTAGATAGATAGGTATAATAAGCACTACCTGTACCGGTACCGGTACTTTTTTTGGTTGGTTTCAGAAGGGGGATTGAAATCATTTATATAATGAATCTATAAGTCTTATATGAGTACACGAGGGAGTATACGAGTTGTTAATTGGGTAAGTACGAGTAAGTACGAGTAAGTAAGATATATATTAGGTATATCACTGTAGTAGATTGTAAGGTTATGAATACCTACCTATCTGTCTATCTACTTATAAAAGTATAATAAATAGTAAATACAATACTCGTATTTAAACACAATACTTAATCAACAAATCAACGAATTAACAAATTAGCAAATGCCGCAGTAAATTAATATTATTTTCTTCTTTTCTTTCTATTATATTAATCTTACATTGCTTCATTTTTCACCGTAAATAACATGTAATATGGCTGGCTGGCTAGCTATCAATTGAATAGGAATTTTGTTGAGTGTTCGTGGGTATACTGTATATATTATACACACCTCCTTTTTACATGAAGAGAGGAAAAAAACGGAAAAGGAAAAAAACGGAAAAGGAAAAGGAAAAGGAATAGAAGATATCTTACGAGGGTATTCACGTGATGATGGTGATACTGGTGATACTAGTGATACTGTTACTGTTACAGACATAGTAGTTGTGAACTTGTGACATATACAACTACATGGGATACTTGGTCTAACACTTCTATACTGAGGTGTATACGAGCAAGGTAATTTTTTATATTAGAAGAAAGGCATAACGCTAGGAATTGTATTTAGAAAGGTGAAAACGAGGCGGTGGTTTAGTTGGATTGTTCGTTGTAGAATGGAAGATGGAAAGGAAGGGAAAGGAAGGAAGAGATAGATATTGCTTATTATTAGTCTTGATATACGAGTATATGGTATCAAATGAGAATGATATTGAAAGGAATTGTAATAGATTAAACATTAATACATAAATTAGTGTGGGATCAATCCCGAATAGTTAAAAACTTTTGAGCTTTTGAACGCCGTGTACTCCGTGCCAAATCCCATACCATCCTTGCGATGACCAACAGGTCTTATGCAACTTTTTTCTTCAAAGCAAATCAAACTTTTCGTCTTATCAAGAGACATCTTCTACCATCTCGCTTGACAGTCCATCCCACACTCGCGCATATTTCCTTGAGCGTCCCTTCTCTATCCATCAACCTATCATTCACAGCAATCACATCCAAAGCCACTGACTGTTTACCCAACAAGATTGAAGATCGAATCTTAATCTGTTCTGCCAATGTCATTCCCCTAATGTCAAGATATCTTAAGCTGTGTTTGACATCGGTAAAGGTAGGTAACGGCGTGATGGAAATCCTTCGTCGTAATTTACAAATGGCAATGGCACGTTCCATGGGCTCGAGAACGGTGGTATATTTTGAGTCGATTTCTGATGAATCGATTGCTTCTTCATCACTTCGGGAGTCATTGTCTTCGGCGTTGAGGAACATGGATTCGAGATCGCGCATGCGAAGGCCAGTTCCTATGCTTAGCTCTTGTACTGTTTGATTCAGACCCTTCAGTTGAGCGACACATGTTGAGTCCATCTTCCATCCTCTTAGCTTAAGAGTCTTGAGTGTCTTTGGTGCATGTTTCAAGATGCGCTCTGTCTCTTTCTCATTGATCTCTTCACCAACCGTAAGGTCAGCGGAGGCATCAAGATATTCCAACGTGTTCTTCACTGCCGGATGCGAAGTTATGAAGTCGACGAGAGAGGTATCATCAAGACGTGGACAATGATTGATTGCCAGATGTGACACTTTTGCCGTGGGAGGGAGAAGTTGTAAAGCTTCTGTCGTAATATGAGTATGTGATAACGTCATCGATTGGATAGAGCCAAGTCGTGAAAACAGCGAGTCAAAGGATGAAGCTGGAAGAGATGTGCAATTCTCCAAGGATAATGATTTGATCGGAAGTGAGGTTACCTCTGGCGTGCTTTCAAGTATGGTAGGTATGCAATCTAGTGTTGATGATGTGCAATTGCCCAAATCTAACGTCTTCAAATGTGGCAACCCAACAAAAAGTAGTCGAAGTAAGGGCTCGCTCAAGAAACCGTTGAGGTTGGTATCTTTCGGGATTCGAAATTCTCGAAGATGCGGAGCGAGGCAAACCATTCCATGAAGATGATTGGAAAACTCTCTCATTGGACGTGCGGTTTTCAACTCGGAGAAATCAAGACTTCGAATGGTTCTTCCCAAGATGGGATTCTCGGTAAGCTGAGCAAGAATATGGTTGAATGCGGACATGTGAGTAACTGTAACACTTCGATACGTAATAAAAAGTGCATTCATATAAATTGCCTGTGATACACGAAGACATGAGAATAAAGTAGGCCTCTCCAGAGGTGGTGGGTAGTTGATGTCACTCGAATCTATGAAATGTCAATATTGATTCAATTAAAGTTAACCAAAGATATTCAAGTCTTACCATTGCTTGAACCTCCATCTTTGTGATTATATTTCAATTCCAGATTCCCAAGTATCTTTTGAAGGAGCTCAGGTGGAAGTAATTCTAATGGTGATTGACCAGCTTCGTATGCATCTCTTGGCCTATTAGACATTCTTTGTATCGATGAGGGAGGCATTTTGTATAGAAGTATATATGAGATGACAAAGTATGTATTTGACAAGTACACCGAGGCACAGATGTTTGAATGTTAACTTGCAATTGTCTTTCTTGTCTTTCTTGTCACTGTTGAATTCATATTTTGAGGTTATCGTGAGACTCTTATACCCTTTAATAGAAAGGGTTAGTTCATCCAGATTAGTACAGCTCTCATACTCAATGCATGAAAAGTTGCATGCCAAAGACTGGGAAATAGCGAAATTCCCTCCCCATGACTCTCAAGACATTGTCAGAGCTCAAGCACAAGCACAGCTCATGAAGTTATCAATTATCCAATACTATTCACCGCCAACACGTAGTCGTTTCATTGTTACGTAAATGTATAACAACAAAGGGATATGATGTATAAGACGGCATCATGAGGCAATATGAACTTTATTAATTGATTCGTTGATCTTAGAATTGGATGATTTTCCCCAGAAAAGGTTAAAGAAAAAGAAAGCACGATTTATAAAAAGGCGGGGTTAGCGTCTTGGTATTCCTATACTGTGGGATGTAGATGATATTTGTATTCACGTGATTTAGGTTTGATGAATGTTTCTAATTTGGTGTTTTCTTTTTCAAATCCCGGACTATTATTGGTATTGTTAGTATATGCCAGACGGAATGAAAATCCCTCATTCACTCCATATTATAATGTGAAGACGACATTTTTGGCTCATCCATCAAATTCCACTACCCTATATCGTATAGCGAATGGGAAAACAGGTTAATGGTGCAGATTAGCACTGCTCTAACGGACCAATTACCCAATTACATAGATGGAAATATCTCAATGCATTCAATACCTATCTACTGTAGGTACTTGAGTACTTTTCATCCATGGCCAATTAACTCCAAAGCTAGTACAACTATTTCCCTCATCACATACTTCGAACCGAGTTTCATCCCTAGTCGACTTGACCTTCCTCTCAGCTTGCTACCTTGATAAATACGGTATGCCAGTTCACTAACACATTAATTATCGAAGGAAGCCATAGACACTATAGTCATTACTGTCACTGTAGTCCAAATAGCCCACCAACTGAGTAAGACTTTACTCGATTACCATGAAACTATCCACGACCAACAGAAGGACGTCCCGCAATTTTATGACAGCCATGAGTTCGAAAGTTGAGTACACATTTTTACCTATATACATCGAGCTAGTCGTTAATCCTGGAAGAGACACAGGAAGGAACGACAGGATCCTAGCTTGTTGAATGGCGAAACTCAAGATGTGGCGATCAGTGGGTAACCGCTATCGCTTCATAATTATACCTTCGCTACCCGACATCTTTATAGTTTGTATATTTGGGTAATTTAAACTTTAAAGAGACTTCGATGAGGAATTATTTAGCTTCGATGTCCATCCTGCTGCAAAATTATAGTCTCTATTAGCAAATTTCCACTTTTGTTATTCCATACTTCTCTGCCGTCAAACTTTTCAAATACCAAATGTTCAAATGTATGTGGTCTCTCAATTTACTAATTAGACTTACCTTTGTATTCTCAAGCAGTCCCTCCCTAAGTTTTCAAGCATCAGTATGCTACCGCTCTCATCATTCCCTTGGTGGAGGAATGAAAGTTTTCGTATTCACCGAATTCAAAAAGCAAAGCTGCGTTGTTGATATGTCGGTTTTGTAGGAACTAAATACTGTTTGGTTTTGCAAAATTTACCACTATTTCTATCATCCTCTAAAGCTTCGCAGGAGTCTCGTATCCCATGCATGCTTCACATATTCCTTCATACCGAATGAATGAGGGAATCTCCTGGGCTTGCAAGCACCGGGCGAAATCAATTCGTTACACCAAACAATGATAATAACCCAAAATCGCGAGTCGCGACCATACCATATTGCTGTATCTGACTGCCATGAATGTCCGAATTAGCGTCAACTTTCTCTCGTGTTCTAGCATTCAACGTGCGATAGCACACTGGAAAGGATGAATTCTCTAGAGTAAAGGAACACTGAATATCACTGGACTGGACCTAAAACTTCTGAGTATGAATTTAACCAACAAGAGAATTAGAAACAGATTCCATCATATCCTCCAGAGCTTGCAACGCATTGGCATACAAAGCTTCATATTTATCATTATCATGATTCAGATCCCTCAAAATCTCTAATTCCTCTTCTTGCAACCGACTGGCCTCCAACCAACCCATCGGCATCTCCTGCGCATGTTTATTGACTTGGAGTCTATCCTCGAGGATTCCCTTTGATTCAATTGTGACCTGATTCTTCAGGAGGCTTCCCATATGATGGACTATTTGATAAATTCCATCTAGCTTTTCAGCGCGCGTCTCGTCTGCTATAATCCTGGTCATTTCTATGGCATCCGCCAACATTTGATCGACATACAAGACTGGTGGCTTCTTCCTATGGACGAAGGTATGACGGGTCTCTTTGAACCTATCGAGTAGTTCGTGAAATTGAGGAATATGATCACGAGTCTCGAAAGCTTCAGGAGGAATAATAGGCGCCGCTAAATATCTCTCCCAGAAATTAAGCTCAACTTCTTGAGCAAAGCGTAGGTTCCTATTAACCAAGAATTCGGGTACCCAGCGCTTTATAAAGTCAAAGATTGCACCTTCAAGTGTGATGCAAATTCGAAAGAATACGCCGTGTTGAAGAAGGAAAGGTAGTCGACGACGATCATTAATGTTTGATTTTTCATAGGGGCCAAAATCCGACGAGGGGGGATTACAATCACGTTCCTGCATTTGCGCTCGGGTTTCTGGAATGATCGCGCGTGTTTGGACAAGAGGTGCCTGAATAACCGATGGGTTTGGAGTTTGCGGTGGTGTATATACTCTTGTTTCTTCGGGGTCGCTTTGCATCGATGCCTGTCGCTCTCTTCGACGATCAATAGTTGCGAAAGCGTCCGAGGAGGGCCTGCGGAACGAATCTGAGCATGGAATGTCTTGCTGTACTGCTGTTGATGCTTCTATATTACTGGGTTGTGTTGGAGATTTTCTGAGAAAGGTAAATGGTCGACACTCGCGAAGTGTTTTGACGACGAGTCTACGCGTTCCCTTGGACTTTGGCATGATGGTGATAAATTTGACGCTATACTTGGTTTTGGCAGACCAAGTACTCAAAAATTCGACTGTACGGACTCCGATGTTGTTTCGTGGCGGATCAGAGTTACCATACTCATGGTATGTACGTTATAACCGTATGTACTTCATGATCAAACGAAAGCTGCGAAGGCTGCTTCTAATAATGATCTTAGAGAATCGAGCGGAATAGGCATGACATTATCCCTTTCTAGCCTTTCTGCATAAAGGGGTAAAATCCGGCTGATAGCTGGTAGTAACGAGAAGACTATAGAAGATGAGATGAGTTCTATCTTTTTGATACATTTCAAAATTATAAAGGGAATAGCCATGCCCTTTAGCCAATCTCACAAAGAGTTACTTCCTTCACTTCGGGCTTAGATGAAACATGGAGATAAACCACTGGGGCCTGACAATGGGTATAGCCAAACTATAAGTTTATACCATCGAATTCTACAAATCAGAAGCAAAAGCAGACAATGACTGACTAGCCTTCGTAGCATTCCTAGCCTCACTAACCTTACTAAACCACAACCCTCCAAAACCTCTCCAATCCCTCCAACCAAAGAAAGAAACTCTGATCAAAATGGACCCACGCAGACTTAAATAATCAGCACGCGATAGTAAATATAACCCGATAAACTGATCATAGAACTCTGCAAACTTATAAACTCAAACTCAAACACAGATAACAGATCTATCTCACCAACCTCATCAATTTAAAATACGCACTACATACTACGTACCCAAAGCAAAGCATATACGAGTACTGGTAGTATTTCCACAATTCCCCTAAATCATCACACTCCAAGATACACACATACATCGTGAAGCAACACTCTCCAAACCAAACCTCAATTGCTTTATGCACAGCCAGTTTTCCTCTTACTACCTAATCATTTGCCCCCTACCCCCCCTTCCCCTCTAATTTCCTCCCCCTCTAAGTCCCCTCCCCCTCTAATCCCATCCACCACCTACCCACCTACCAGCAAGATCTTCACAACTCTAACCAGAGTCTATAAACCCTACATACGACCTTATCATATCATCCATATCACATCATCCACATAATATCATATCATATCATACAACCGGATCATCTCTCGCGACTGATGACCCAGGCCATCAACTCGAAGAACTTCCAAGTTCGAAAGTGTTATTTCTCCTATTTAGTATTCACGGGTATAATATATCCTTGGCCAATGACTTCAGCTTACGGCTCCATGGATGATCGACGCGTATCTGAGGGACAATTTGTGCATGATTTAGGCTTTGATGCGAATTTGTGATCATCTTGCTGAATCAACAAGCTGCTCCGTAGTTTCTGCTGGGTAGATATATACTATTGAGCGTAGATCATCATAATTCGCAATAAATATCGGAGACTTGGGAAGATGCATTGGTTACAACGTAAAAATATGTGGTATCATTGCTGCTGCCCTATTCAAAAGTGCTTTAATCCTTTATTTTTGTAAAGGCTTGCCCATGCCTCCATATGTGATCACTTTGATTGTTTGATACTCTGCGATTCCATATTTGCTTCCTTCACGTCCAAATCCTGACTCCTTAACACCACCGAATGGAGATGCAACATCACTGATCAAACCTGTGTTGACACCAACCATTCCAAGCTCCAACTCTTCCGAGATCCTAGTGGCCCTTTCAACGTCATTAGTGAAGAAATAGCCTGCCAAGCCGACATCAGAAGAGTTTGCAATTCGAACCACTTCCTCTTCAGTGTCAAATTTGAATAATCCTGCGACGGGACCGAAAGTTTCCTCGTTTGCGAGATCCATATCAGTAGTAGCGCCAGTGATGACAGTAGGTTGGAAAAAGTTGGCTCCAAGCTCAGGGATCTTCTGTCCACCTTGGACGACCTTTCCTCCTTTCTTCTCTGCGTCTCGGACATGGGCTTCCACCTTGTCAACAGCACGGTCGTGAATAACCGGACCATGGGTAACACCCTCGGAGAAGCCACCTCCAACCTTAAACTCCTTAACTTTTGCGACAAATTTCTCGGCAAAGGCATCATAGATGGCAGATTGCACGAAGATTCGGTTGGCACAAACGCAAGTTTGTCCTGAGGAGCGAAACTTGCATACAATAGCAGCAGCTACTGCAAGATCAAGATCGGCATCATCAAATACGATGAACGGAGAATTCCCACCAAGCTCGAAAGACAATTTCTTCAACGTTGAAGATGACTGTTTCATCAAAATTTTACCCACCCCAGTAGATCCAGTGAAGGAAACTTTCTTGATGATTGGCGAAGTAGTAAGTAGCTCACCTATTGCGGGTGTGTTTTTGAGAGAGCTGACAAAGTTTACTACACCCTTAGGAATTCCCGCTCTGTGTGCGAGTTCGGCGAGAGCAAGGGAGGTGAAAGGTGTCTCACCCGGAGACTTCGCAACAACTGTGCAACCAGCTGCCAATGCAGGGGCAATCTTTCTCGTTATCATGGCAGCCGGGAAATTCCATCTAGTAAAAATTAGCTTTTTGTACTCCGGAACTGGCTTCATTCATAGTAGACGTACGGGGTGATAAGTCCAACTACACCAACAGGCTCTTTCAATGTGATGATTCTGTTTCCAGGAACAGATGATGGGATAACGTCTCCATAATTTCTGGGAGCCTCTTCACTGAACCATTCCAGAAAGTTGGCTGCGTATGTAGTCTCTCCCTTTGCATCCGCCAGCGGCTTTCCATTCTCCCATGTTATGAGCCTAGCAATATCCTCACTGTTCTCAATCTACATGAAATAAGTCAACGACTATCCTCATTGCATTCCCATATATTGTTCTTCTAGCATACCATCAAATCAAACCATTTCCGTAAAAGCTTAGCTCGTTCGCGTCCGGTTGTAGTCTTGAATGAGGGAAGTGCTGCGGCTGCGGCATCGATTGCTTTCTTCGTGTCGTCTACATCGAACTCTGGAGCATTCCCGATGAATTTTCCAGTTGATGGATCTACAAAATAGACATGTAAGCCTTTGTAATTCAATTAACTCATAATAAACCTGCGAAGCATACCAGTAACCTCAAAGGTCTTTCTAGAAGCTGCTTTAACCCATTCCCCATTAACGTAGGCAACTCCGGTTTTGAACAGTGTTGGATCATTGAGTTTCGGGACAGTATGCGACATGTTGGAAGCTTTTCGTGAGTTAATAATTGGTAGAGTAGATGTTATAAATCGTGAGCGTGGTAAGAATTTTGCTGTTAATCTTATTATGTTGTTCATGTCGAGAGAAAGAGAGGGAGAGGGGTGCCAAGCTGTGCCTTTTATTCTAGCAATTCTGGTAACACTAAAAGTTGGTTGCTGACAATTGAGATCAGGTCCTTTGAGGAGAAATACACATTGGTTACGGGAATAGGAGGATGATCTTGGATCTAATTGAAAGATGGATTGATGTTACCGGAATTGAGTCAATTTGAGTAATTGGAGTTACGGAGAAGTTTTGATAGAAGTTGGAGGGGGTTTGTTTATCGTAAAGTGAGTGAAGCTTTGATAAGCTTTCGTCGCGGGGCTGCCGCTAAGCCTAATATAGGTGATAGCATATCAAAATATACGTAAAAGGGATTAGTTGTAATCAATCAGTTTTTACATAATTATATATACACATACCGGTACACACAGAATCATCATTTTCAATCTCTGTGAGAGGGGTTTTAAGGCTAGGGTTAATGCATCATGGTTATGAACCCCTCTTCGTCCTGGTGGGGGGGACGGGGGGTGGATTGAGAAAGACAAATTGAAAGGAACTGGTGGTGGATGGGAATACAACCTCGATAAGACCTTGTATGCACTCGATCCAAGGAGTACTTTATCCGGGCTTCATTCATTGCTTCGCTTTCCGGCATGATATACTGCGAGTACAACGTAGGATATGCAGTTGCTACCTGCAACAAATGAGGTATGGGGAAAGAACCTGCGATTCACAGTACAAGGTACATATTCTGAGCAGGTTACTTAAACCTGAAGGTTTCCATCTTCTCTCTTCCCGGTAGTTTCTTCATTGAATGTACATTTCGTTCATTTTTCTCTTTCTTCGCTTGATATATTGGACATAAAGCATTAGATCCTCACATCTCACAAAATGGCTCGTATCATTGGAATCGTTCTTCTAAGCCTCGTGCAAGCAATTCATGCTCAAAGCAGCTTCATTGTTGCGAGCACATCCCCAGCAAGTGCCGGTACCCCACTTCCGGCCTTCATCAGTTACTCTATTGAGTTCTGCTTCTTTCCGGATTACGCTGGTATGTCAAGGAGTCAAGTATATATTAGTTGGCTCACAAACTCATATGTTTAAGGGAATACTTCAAATCCGAACACGTTTTCAAACAATCTACTTAACAATCTTGGCCATTTCCAAGGGTCTAAACCACACATTCGAGTTGGGGGAAATACTCAAGATTATGCTCTATATAATGCAAGTCTTCCATACGCTGTGAATGGCACATTCAATGCAGCAAAAGCTGCAGATTATCCAACGACGGTTTATATTGGCCCTTCCTATTTCGAGTCTTACAGTACTTGGCCAGACGTCAAATTTAGTCATGGATTCAATATGGGACTCGGCGGAAGCAGTTCTGCTGGATGGCAAACACTGCTAGACACGGTACCATTGGCGTGCAAAGCTTTAGAAGGGGGGAAGCTCCTCATGTGGGAATATGGAAATGAACCGGATTTGTTTTCTACCTCTGCACAAGGACCGGTTCGACCTCCCAGTTGGAATGAATCAACATACGTAAGCCAATGGCTGAATGGAAGCCGACAAATCAAAGAAGGCGTCGCAGCAGCCTGTCCTGACTTGGCTTCCTATGGGTTCATGGCACCCTCTTTTGCGGGTGTTGAAAACCATCTTAATCCTGTGACAACATGGAATGATGGATTAGATGTTGATAAAGACATTGAATTAATATCATCACATAAGTATGGTCTCTTTCACTATTTTGCATTTGAAATACTAGCTGACTGATCGAAGTTATATTGGCGGTGCCACGCAACCAGGTGTGACACTCCAAGGAACACTCATGAATCACACGCAAACCGTTATCTCTGTTGCCCGACAACTCAACGTATCCAATCTCCTTGCATCATCCAACATACCTTTTATTCTTGGAGAAACCAATTCGCTTTACAATCAAGGTGCACCAGGGTTGTCAAATGCCTACGGTGCTGCTCTAGTACGTCCTGTCCGTAGCCGATCATTTTCTATTGATATTGACTTCTATGCAGTGGAATTTGGACTTTGCTCTCTATGGTGCAAGTAAGAATATTCATCGCATCCAGTATGTGAAGTTCTTAGAAACAATTCCTCCTGATTTTCATATTGACAACCCTTCGCGTAGTTTCCACACGGGTCTTTCCTTCCGCTACGCGGCTTGGCAACCTCAAGACACGGAAATCAATCCAAAAGGCACAAAACCTCCTTACTATGGTAACATCGCCACTGCCGCGTTCCTATCCAATCTTACCGCGTCAACCATAACCATAGCCGAAATTCCATTATCCAATGCGATGGAATCTGCTTATGCCGCCTATGCCAATGGCGCTCTGAAGCGAATTATCATCATCAACATGCATGAATACAACTACACCGTCAACGGAACCTCAACGGTCTTGAACCCCGTCCCTCGTCCAATCAGAAATTATACAGTCACCATTCCTAGCCACGCAACTAATTCCCCAGATTATTATGCACCGGCCCCGCTGCCGAAGTCGGCAACACTGAGAGCCCTTCATGCAAACGGCAGTGATGCAATCACGGGTATTACGTACGATGGATACTCTTACAATTATGAACTCAATAATGGCCTCCCTGTGCGGCTGACAAACGTGACGGTTGGGCAGAAAGTCAGGGTTGTGGGCGGAAAATTGATTGTGCCAGTCGAAGATTCAGGGGCGGTGACGATTGATTTTGGAGCATGATGATCGGATTGATGCTCAATGGGTATCTTTGAGGTCGAAGCCGTTATATCAATTGCTTCCGTTTCACAGTTGAAACATGCAACAGCGTTTGAGTATCCCATTCTCCTCCTCTCCCATCCTATCCTAAGCCTAGGATGAAGCTTCAATGATCTATTGATTTGGTATATATCCTCATCCTGCCCAGCCTTTAGAAAAGTCATATTTATGCTCATCTTGATGGGATGATATAGTAGATATCATATCACTCGCCGAAATATATGATCTCATGTGGTCATAGTATACATGATTTTGAGTGAACAGATGATATTATGTGAAAGTTATAACATCATATAATCGCAATCATATGATCATGAGTGAACAGATGATACCATATGAAAGTCATGTGAATCATTATCATCCTATCATCTGTCATCCTAACCTAAATTATATATATCCTACTATATAGTAGCCCCCGAAATTTTTGAAACTCCTTATCCTGCCTAGCCTTTCAAAATATATCATCCTTCCTATCCTTACCTAAAAGATAATGAATCTAGATACTAGTGATACCACTGAGACTCGAAGAGTCGCCCAGAATCCTATATCAGGCAATTTTGATCTGTTACCTCCGTTAATTCCAGCGCCACAAGATTTTGTAGGTGGAGACACTATGGTGCCAAACAAACAAGACGCTCTTCTGCCCGCTGAGAACGACGAAGATCATTATTTCAGAGGCTTAGAGTTGATCCCTGGCTTTCCTTTCTGGGAATTTCGAGGTGCTCCCCAAAATGGCAATAATGGGATGGATTCCAATACCACGTTTTATCACACTGTAACTCATAGGTAGGCTGAGCTGCGGGTGGAAACTGATTATCAATCTGCTGACATCACAATAGCTTCCTCGACCTAATCAAAAATGCGCCTCCTGAGATCCGTACTCATATCTTTGCTCAAATAGCAACCAAGAGAGTAGCTGAAGATGACAATGTAGACCCGGAAGGATATATTAAGAAGAGTGCCTATTTTATGCAAAATTACCGCCTCCAGACGCGAATCTCCAATTTGCTCCCGTCAAGTTCTCTCTTAGGGTCCTCCAAGATAGCTATTCTGTCAGCAACGCGAGCTCGCCAGATGATGCTACTGATGCGCAGCAAAAGCCAGAGTGTAGTGATATCCCGCACATCCCGTCAAAGAATAAACATTTCAAGAGAAATTTTAAAGTAATGATGAGCATTATTTGCGGCCAAAACAAGGAAAAGGAATTGGGCATGTCATACCTTGAAAATGACTATCCAGTTCCATCTGCTCGGTCTTACATTGATCTTGTACGCTTTATCGCCACACTCGTACATTCGGAGGGATTCTACTACGAGGACAATCCAAGCGATTGGGGCCCTGGAATTTGGAAGAGTGAGATTAGGGAAACAAGCCTACTGGGAGAATTTCTCGTCTGGTTTTGGAAATACTTTGTCCTAGATTCTACCAATGATCTCGAGGTAAGTCCACTTGATTATCTCTTGAAAAAAGAAGCCATGCTAATTAACTTCAGGATTGTTCCAGCTGGTTAGAGGTTAATCATCGACAGTTCTATCACCTTCGAAACGTCTCGATCGATATTTTGGCATCACCTTATGAGGGACCCGCTAGAAAACGAATTAAGCGCAGTTTAGACGGCCGTCAGTTCAAGCGATTTCTTAAAGGATTCGACGATCTCCCAAACATCGAAGACCTCACTGTATTTGTACAAATACACGTTCAAGATTTAAAGCATCTTTTACAAAACCCTGGATCTTATGGATGGGCAAATGCGCTACGAGGGGTCACCTTTGCAAAATATTTCGATGTGCGATTGAAGGTCTTTGATTTAGTGCCCAAAGACTATCAGAGAGCTCCTATGTCTAAAGCTGAAAATATACAGCTTGCGATATATCGGCAGAGGTTGTGGCAGTTGCTTATGCCTGAAGTCTTGTGCTCTGGAACTACTGATGATATCCCGGATCATCTTGGTCTTTTCGAAATGTTTACTATGGAGGAAGACTAGAACGGGGGTGCGCAACTTTGAGTGTTCTCATAGGGCTTCTTCTTGTATTAAGCAGTATCAGCAAGGCTAAATTGACTATTCGTTACTATTATATGGTTCTCCTGACTTTTAATTATTCCGGCTTGTATTTGCGTTGACTACCTTGAGTAATGCGAGATTGTTGTTGATCAAATCTGAATAGAAGTTCGTTATGGTTGTAGACAACAAAAATGCACATACCCGGTGTGTCCAATAGTCCAGACTGCAGGATGTACTAGGTTTCTTTACTTGGCTAGTAGTCGAGCTAGCAGACCAATGAAAAGGCAGACTAGTTAGGTAGCTCATCTATATTTATTGATTAGACTAATTGGATTGTAGTTTACTCGAGTAGACAACCTCGATTAATTCTAAGTTATACATATTGAAATCATTACTACTTCGATTCTTTTAATTTATAGAATCATTTCGTTATAATTTAATATTAAAAATATTGAATCATGACCTGGAATAGTGGTACATTCATCTCACGCTAGCTGAAGCTACTAGTAGGCGACTAAGTATACCCAGATTCCTGAGCTATACTCATCGAAATGCAATAGTATTTCACTCACTCTCGTTCCGCTGCTATGTGTGACGTGGAAACTGAAGATCATAAAATTTCAAACTATTGAATCAAATTTATTGAATTATTCAAAAAAGGTATAGAGTATATGGAATTTTTAAATTTGGACTAGCCGAACCATCTTTTTATTTTAAATTCACTCCAATAGTCCACCTAGTCCAATTAAATCACAGACTAGCTGTCTAGACTGCTGTCCGGCAGATGGAAGACTGTATTGGTGGTACCAACGAGCTGTACTAAACATATGAATATCAAATGAAGGATATTCAACTCTGCCGTATTGCTCTAGTGCATAATGATGGCCCGATTTCTAATATATAAACTCCCACATACTCGAGCAACCTTTCAAAAAATCAACCTTACAAAGTCAAAGACCTACAACCATGACCATGACCATGACCACCTCGCGGATTCCCCACGGATCCCAAGCAGAAGATGGCCACGAATACTTCGCAAAGAGAGAACTGATGCCAGGATTCCCATATCAAGAGTTCGAAGGTATCACGAATCCCACAAAATTCTGTATCGACTCTATGATGGTCAAAGACAAATCGTATCGCTGTGTGAGCCAGAAGTAAGTATCTCCCTAATTCTTTCACATCATATTCTCATATGACGTTCCTTCCCATGATTCCCTACTAAGACTATCGATAGAACCTTAGCATTACTCAAGAGCGTACCCCTTGAAATCCGAGAAAATATATTCTCAGAGATTGTCGACCAGCATGTCCCAGAACCCGAGACAGACTACCCTGGCATGAGCCCAAATTTGGCGTTGAACTGGGTACAGAACCCCCGAGGCAAAAATGGCATCATGCGTTATGGCACAGTTGATGGTGTGTTTACACTGGCCAAATTTTATTACTGTCCGGTAAAATAGTCTCTCCGCACAACGAAAACAATTCCTGGCTACAAGTTCCGCAAAACCCTGATCGAGAAGTATTGTGAAGAGCACCTTTGCACCAGGGGTACTGGTATGAGTTTTGAGGGTTTGAAATTCTCTGATGTCCTAAATCATGCCACTGGCAGCAGGTCAGCACGACGAACTCGTTTTATATGGGATGATGATATCAGCAAGGAAGCCCTGGGCACGTCCAAGTCGGTGGAAAACGATTATATCGTTGTTCGATCGTACGATGAGCTGTTGCAATTTGCTAAAGCAATTGCTCATGCTGAGAATTTCGTTCTGGAATACAACAACATTAACGGCTTACAACTACCAGTATGGAAGAGTAGTGAAAGAAATTCAAGTGTTTTGAAGGATTTCTTGTCATGGTTTTGGCGAGAATTTGAGTTGGATTTTACTTATGAATTCCAGGTAAGTTGTTTGGTGTTCTGCTCTTGAATCGTATATCTCCCAAGTGACAAACTGCTGACATCAGTCACAGACATGCAATGCATGGCTACGGGCAAATCTTCAGCAATTCTCACTCATACAGAACATCAACATAGATATTAATTTTGTATCATTCGAAATTAATTCTTTTGAAGGAAGTGGTTATAGAGCAATTGATACTCTCCATCACTTCAACGAGTTCTGTCGATATTTGAACCAGCTCTCGAATATCAACAAACTGACTGTACGTTTGTCAATTAAGAGACGTGATGTCTTAAGCATCCTTCATAACCCAGGTGCTTACGCGTGGGTATCCGCAATAAAGAGTCTACCAGTCTCAGAGAAGTTCATCCTAGTACTTGCAACAGTTTGGACGACAAATGACGATGAGTACGGTCACTGGGAAGGAGAGAAGGAATATGCGGATTTCGAGGACCATCAAGCTGAGAGTGATTCTCTTGCTGAAGAAATGTTGCGTGAGAGACTCATGCCTGCGACTTTAAGTCAAGGAAAGACGTATGACTTGCCAGATGATTTGGGACTTGCCAGATTATTCTGTGTGGGTGAGGAGTGATAAGTTCTGGGCGATTTCATTAAAGGTAAGGCCTCACACTGTGCGCATCAAAGCGGATGTTTTCATGAAACATAAAACATGTTAGGAAAATCAAGTAATAAGTAACTTTTCAGATTGCAGTATTACAAGTGAGTGTGAGTGCATGAAAACTAACCCTTTGTACCTTGACCATTTACCAGAACATAAATGGTCATCGGTAAGTCATGGCAAGATAAGGAAGGACCTTCAATCATCATTCCTCGAAGTCAAAATTGAATTGTTCTATCAGCCTGTTCGACAAGACAAGAACATCTGGTTTGATCATTACGATTCAATAAAGCGGTACCGGTCTAGTGTAGGAGAATTAGACAAGATCTTTCGACGCCTCTGTTTGATTTTGACAGATGGAAATTCCTGTTCTGCTCGGCATAATGAGAGCCGTCAAAGCTCTCTGGGCAAATTTTGATACCGTCAAATAGAAATCAGATGTGCAAGGGAAAAACTATAGTCTATCTAAATGGGTGCCGCAAAATTTTAAGCAATTTTTTATATTTGACCAGCTTCAGCTATAAAGAGATGATGCACAAGAATACTCATTCTACTATCTGATATCTGGTATCTGACATGACAATCAGCTAATGGTAATTACGCGAGCTCAGTGAAGGGGGTGAGCATAGATATTCGAGTGTATCTAGATTTTCAATAAATAATTACCTTAAAAGAAAACAAAACGTGTCAAAGTTTGAGGTTCTATAAGCATAACATAAAACTACAAGATATTCCGCGTTGGTGGTTAATTTCATAGGAGAAGTGGCAAAGCTGTGTAACTTAAATCCTATGTAACGGTCGGAGAGGTCACGGTCGGTTACACAGCTACACTGACTTCATCGCTTCACTAACCTCAAGTTTAAGTAAAAAATACTTGGATGATAAGAGTATCAAGGATTGATAAGTTTCCATAATATAACCTCAAAAACGGCTTCGCACTCCACTACAGTAAAATCATCGTTTTTGTGTCTTCGTAGTACTAGTAGCTTTCCCTTCAATTTTCCTTACTTTTTGCCAGTTCATTCTATTACCTATTTATCACTGCATAATCAAATAGTCTCATTGAGAAATCCTGCCTTTGAGCGTGTCAGAGGTGAACATGTAGTTAGGTTAGTTACTGCCAATTAGACAAAGAAACTTGGTGGTCATACAATAATCGTATACCGGTAGTGGACATGTCCAAATCTCGATGCCTAATTTACCCTCAAGAATCATCCTTTGGTACCCACCAACCCACCAAACAACCAATAGACCATAATTTGCGAAACGATGGATTGTCTACCAATTTAGGCATCAATAATTCCAGAAGGAATCAAACTTATTTGAAACTCTACCCTAATTTCTCAGAATCGACCTTCCACAGTTTCCAGTGATGTGAGCTTATGGTTAACGGTTGTTGTAATTAGGAGTTCGATAACCGCGCCCCTTCTACATTAGACATGATCTGCAAAGCTTCCTTCGAGAAAGTTCCAAATTGGTCAAAATTTTTGGATATAGGAGTCTAGAATCATTCTCAACTTTACTTACCAATTCAATAACATCGCCCGCTTTGAAATTCTAAAAATTAAACATATTACCGGTACTAGTACGAGTAGATACTCGTAGATTTCTCATCCATGCTAATCCTATATGCCCCACCGGTATATTTCAGGCTATTCAGAATCAGAAGCGGAGTCTCTCTACCCCACATTTACCCTGTAAGACCTATAATCCAACATCCGAGTTGCCCAAACCAAACCATCACTAGCCCCAAAAATCACTGACATGGTACATAATTCTGTTGTAATATTTATAGAGATAATTATCACCGGAGTTAACACTGTATCAATTGCCTGCAATTCAACTAACTACTCTCCATAGCTAAATCTAAAACTTGAGCTCCAGCTCTTCTGAGGATTTGGGTAAACCTAGTAGTGCATCTTTGGCCAGCCACCATTCGTGCTAGAGGTAGCTTTGCGATTGTCAACCCTTCTCCCCTTCGTCCTTTCCTCTCCTTTCCCATGAAATGAACGACCGACTCTCCGTTTAAGCTTCACTTTCTCCCCCGTGGGTCCTTTCCACCAGAAGTCTTGGGAACAGTGTTAACCTTAGTTCCCGCCTTCTTCTCATGATCTGCGACTACTTCTTCGACCAGGCCTCTGTTTAGCTGCTTGGGCTTAGCTTGCTGCTCCTGAGCCCTATTGACTGCCACTGCCCTTTCGATCATATCTCTGCTTAGCTCTTTGGGAGTTTTCGTGTCCTTCGTGCCTTTCTTCTTTTGAGCTTTATCGACTGCGACTGCCCTTTCGATCATATCTCTGCTAAGCTCTTTGGGAATTTTCGTGTCCGTGCCTTTCTTCTTTTGAGCTTTATCGACTGCGACTGCCCTTTCGATCATATCTCTGCTAAGCTCTTTGGGAATTTTCGTGTCCGTGCCTTTCTTCTTTTGAGCCTTATCGACTGCGACTGCCCTTTCGATCATATCTCTGCTTAGCTCTTTGGGAATTTTCGTGTCCTTCGTGCCTTTTTTCTTCTGAGCTCCATCGGCTGCTACTGCCCTGTTGACCAAACCTCTGTCTAGCTGGTTGGCAATCTCCTTGGCTTGCGGCTTCGGAGCCTTGTTATCTGATGCTTCGACCAAGCCTCTGTTTGACTTCTGGGTGACTTTGTTGCTCATAGTGTTTTTGAGTTGTTGGAAAAGGGTTGGATTGTTATATTGTATTTATGGGTATTTGATTGTAATGAAGAACTGTTTGGATAAAGATACAAGAGAATAATCTAGCTAGCATGCCTTCTTATAGCTGATTGCAACAGGCAACCACCCGGCCGACAAAGTCTTGACCAACAAGAAGATCGGAGCCTGATTATAGGGAACTGAGTTGGAGATAGCAGGATCACTGACGAGGGTTCATTCAGCGGCCCATCTGCATACCTGACTGGTACTTTATGAACTGCGTCATATCAGCCAGTTCTTCTGGCGTAGTAATATGTCCCATGCCCTCATATAGTTTCCACTCAACCTTGTACCCAACCATTTCCAGCACTCTCCCCATAGCCATACCCCACTCCAACTTCACCTTTTCGTCACTTGTTCCGTGAGCCAAGAAAATAGTCATGTGCTCTTCCGCCGGTAGTGTTCCATCCCAAGGAAGCCAAGGCTGAAGTTCCAACTCGCGTCTTAACCACTTTTGAACATGAATCCTCTTCTCTCTCCAACCCTCCCCAACTGCAGCAATCTCATCAATTTGATTTGCGAACGGTAACCATCCACTCAATCCCACAAACCCTCCAATGTTCTGCGACACTTTCAATCTGTCAAGCTCACCACTTAGCAGTAAAATCATACTCATAGCACATCCCTGACTAAGTCCCCCTACAAATAATCGGAAGTTTTTATCACGAGATTCATAATTCACGACATCCTGAATGAACCTTCCCAGATATTCCACGCTTGACCTCAATCCCTCCATCTGCTGTTGTTCTCCTAGCGTTCGGTCTGAGAAATTCGCGATATCGAACCAAGCATTGGTATCTCTCCCGTCAAAAACAGTAGTCTTTCTCAGACTTCCCGACGGAAAAATGAGTTTAGTGTGCGGTAGTAACAGTCCAAAGTTAATTTGCTCCGAGAGTTCTTGACCGAAAGAGATTCCGTCGGATGATGTGCCATGAAGGAGCATAATGGCGTCTTGTATCAACTCTGGAGGTTTGACCATGAATGGTTCTGGACGGAGAGGGGGCTCCAAGGTGCGATGGGGTGTCATGATGTGTGAGGCGTTCCTTGAAATGGATGCTTGATGTTCGAAGCAGAATGAGTAACACAGTTTTATAATTGAAAGACCTAGAATTGAAGTAAAAAGGCAAGCTTTGTTTATCGTCCTCATGATAAGTTGAGTAAATAAATGTTGTTGTTCTTTGGGCAGAAGCTTACCTGAAGTGGGGATCACCACTTCCATATACTCGAGTACTGTAACACACCTTCTTCAATTGATTACAATACATCACGTGAAGCCATGTACGGAGATTAGAAAGACTTCTAGTCGTGTAAAACTCGTGGAACTCATGCGGCCACTATATTTTACGTCAATGCATCGATTTTAGAGCTACCCTTAGAATTATCATCTGTTCTATAGCCATGAGTTGTTCTAAGTCGACTCTCATGCAACAGGGTTGATGTATATCTTCACCTCCACCTCATTACTCCATCCACTTGAGAGCTCAAGTTCCTTCCATGCCGCCAATGTGTCAATTTCGAGAACATGGGGATCAACTGTGCTAACGGTAACTGTGTGAGTTGGGAGAACCTTTCCAAGGATGGTGACTAGCAAGCTGTCTTGGTATGACATTTCGGGGAGCGTCGAGATATAGATCCCTGTAAGTCAAATTAGAATCTCAATTGGTGGATAAGACAGTTGTGACCTCACCAAGAGTTCCAAGAGCTTTTACATTTGTGCTTATCATAATCTTGCCGTTCTCTGATTTCGTTATTTTACTATCGAGAATAGCTGCGGCTCCAGCCATTTTCTCCAGGAGACCCAAGTTAGCAATCCATGTGACGTCATCGTCTTTTTCTTGGTCAATAAATCCGCGCAATGGATAAGCTGACAGAATATCGAAGCCTCTAACAGCGAGAGAAACGTATATCAAAGCATGAGGGTCCACAACTTGCATAGGCTTAGAGATAGCCCCACTGGAATGGGCACGGATAACATAAAATTGTGCCTCCTCAACACCAGGGAATTTGGACAATGGCACCAATTCACTAAGTGGTCTTTGAGATACGTTGAAGAAGCCGATTATCCCAGTTCCTGTGTACGCAGAGCCATGGTATGTCCCAATTGGGAGTATGTGGTCATCGTCGTATCCATTATACTGATCAAGACTCTTGCCAACGACACTGGGTCTAAAAATGATAGTTTTACCCCGAGGAGTGGGGCCCGTCATCTGATTGATAAGATCAAGATCATGTTGACCAGGAACGTCCGTTATGTAGATTGGACCGCCACTAACGCACCTCGCAGCTGCATGGAAGCCGGAATAGTCATGAACTGTCTGAAACATATCCCAATCTGGGATCAGGTTAAGATGTTGTGTAAGCAAAGCATTGTGGGCGTTGGTAAAGACATGCCATGGGTGACTCGTGGGAATCTCTGGAAAAAAGTCATCAGAGTTCCGTACGAGTATTGGAGGTCGATTTTGAGGCAACTGAGAATGAAAGAGGATTTGCGGGATTTGTGACATGCAAGAAATTGCTTTGACACTGAAATGTCGAAGAGTTGAAAGGGTCCACGCATCCTGATATGCTGATATCAGATCACTACGATCTTCGGCTGACTCGAAGAGATCAAGCATAAATTGGGCGCTGGGTTATGTTAGTACAGAAACGATTCGCACTAGGTCACTTACTCGGTCTTAACAGCATCAACTCCACAGGATGAAAGGAATGAATAAAAGTCGTCATAGAACTTCTGTACATCTTCTTTGGCTACTACTGTCATTTTGCCACCCAAAGGTAAATTTCGTCTTAGAGAATCTCGGCGAATGACTTCAATTGTCTTATACGCCTCGGCAATCTTACCGTCAGGGGCAAGGCCACCCCAATAGCCCAGAATTGCGTGCCATACAGCTACGTGCTGGATACTAGGCTGCTTCTGTCGTATGAGAGATATAGTGTGCTTCAAGCCATTAGGAAATGCCGTTCTGTCTGCCTCAAACTCGACCCAACCATGTTGAAATTGACCATGTCCCTTGTAGTCGATGGCTTGCCAATTATCGTCAATGATGAAGTTTGTGACGTTAATTTTATTATCTGCCAGGATTTCAACTGCTTTGAGTATCTTGTCTTCCGTTAATCGTTGCCCAAGTGCATTCCATGTACCTGGATCATTGGTCAGACAATCACATAGGGAGGTTCAGTGAGCATACAATACGTCAAGCCATCACACCAATTCTCTACCCAAACCTTTGTCTTCTCATCCCCTTCTTTGAGAGCCTCGATCTCCTTTTGTGTTTCGCCAGATGCACTCTCGAGAGTTGCAACGATCTCTCTAGCATGGTACATTACAGCCGCGTTGGCTGACTCATAGTCGTCTCCAAGCCCAACGAGGACACGAGCAACAGACTCTTGAGGATTGTCACTTCGAACCTGTCTAAATCAGAATCCTAGTCGTCAAATCAAGAAGGTTGTATCATACTGCTAATACTACTCTGCCATTATCGTCACTCTTGAACAGTGTCATAACGTCGTCTATCCCGCTGATAGCTAGTAAAACAATGTGCTTCCCCTCTGAGCTTAGGAAAGAGCAGGTTACGGCCTCCTTGTCAAGGTCAAAACGAGTCTTTCCATGTCGGGGAGCCAACCAGGGAGTCCAAATACGAATGAGAGCAAACCATCTGGCGGTGTAAGTAGAAGGTCAGACACCGAGTATCAATGAAGAGTTGGACCAACCTTGCCAATTTATCTTGACCCCAAGGAAGCCCAAATTTTATGTCTTTTATAGTAGACTCTTTCCCGACGGCTCCCTCAATAGGCACTTGTACTGACCAAAGAGTGGTACCAGGAGATTGGGTTCGGTTGTTTTCAACCTCTAGTGCCGGATTCAGATTCTCAACATATCTGGATAAGCTACTTGAGATATCTTCCTGAGCGGTGACCGTTCTCAAAATAATTGTCCCATCTAGCGTTCCCTGGTGGTCTTTCACGAGAATCCAAGATTGATTAGAGTTGCTTCGGAATTTCACAGTGAACTTTGTTGGGAGACCAGAGGGCAGAGATGCTTTGAAGTATAACCGATCGAGTCCTAAAGGCGCAACAGTTTGCAGAATTGTTGGTAGGTAACTTGTCTTCTCTATGGGTTCCATTAAAGACTCTAGCCAGTAACCTGCGTAACCATGCGTAGACTCTACCCCTTGATCTCCGTTACTAAACAAAAGTATGAGTTCCCATGGTTCAGAGGCACGGCTTTCGTTAACCTCCAGCAAAGCCGTAATGACTTTTGTACTCTTATCCGCTTCTTTCAGGTCGGGTATGGTCGTCAGTTGGCCCAAAGGTGGATAAGTTGAGATATATGCCTTCATGCTCGGATGGGCTGAAGTCAGAGGGCCTTTTTGTTTGGGAATATACTTGGCCTGAAAAACTTCATTACCATCCGCTCCACTGATGAATGTCTGAGCATCCGCCATATTGTACTGAGAAGGTAAAAGGTAATCTTTATGTGAAGCAAAATAACTTTTCAAAGAAGTAACAGACAAGATAGATAGGTAAAGTAAATCAGAAGGACAGCGTGAAGTCAAGGATGTCAACGTCGGTAGAGTGAAGAGTGAAGAGTGAAGAGCGAAGAGTTGAAGCTTTATAGTAAAAGGAATACCGGTGACCAGTGATGAGTTTGTCTAGGTAGGTAGTCTTCTTGATATTGGTTGGTTGGATCAATACTTGAATAGGTACTCAATGAATATCATCCAGCTTGGCAGTTCATGTTGTCTTGTAATAGTACTGGAGTAGAATGCAGCTTTTTGATGGGTGGAGGTCGTTCTTCCATAGCCACTACGAATAATAATGCGGTACTGTATTCCCGTTATTCCGTGTTACGTAATACACTGACTAGCGGCCATCGATACTTAGTAATCTTCCCATCTTACCTAACTAGGTACTCCATGTCATCGGATAAACTTAATACCGCTATCGTAAAATTATTTTGGCCTTGAAGATATTATTGTCACTCTTTCTGCGCAACTATTTGATCCTATCGCAAACTTCACTATCTATCTGTCTGCTTTCTCAAATCTCTCATGCGTTCGTGAGTTACCACCACTCAGTCACAAAGATGGCAACGACTTCTCTTCTTCAGCGTTCGACTCGACCCGACCTTTATGTTTGCGCAAGATGTGCTTTTAAAGTGTCCCAGAATTCGAATAAAGCATCGAGAAGATGGATTGGAACAAAATACTTGGCAAAACTGGCAGATGCGGGATTGGATTGGGCACATAAGGCCGTGGATATCAAGACCGGAAAGCAGAAGAGCATGCTATCAATTCTGGAGGAGCGAGGATATGTACACCAGATAACTGGGTAAATACAACGAGTTTGACCTCTTGTGTGCGAGACGTTGACTTGTGTTGCAGTAAGAGAGATGAACTCGACCGTATGATGACGGAGAAACGGCTTGGTGCGTATGTGGGTGTTGATCCTACTGCGCCCTCACTCCACATTGGCCACTTGTTACCTCTCATGTCCCTGTTTTGGATGTATGTACATGGTTACCATACGGTATCCTTACTCGGAGGAGCTACCGCAAAAATTGGCGACCCGACTGATCGTTTGATAACACGAGAAAAATTGAAGAGTACAACGAGGAACGAAAATGTACTGAAGATGCATTATCAACTGAAAGGTATATGGCTAAACGTCGAGGCATATGGCAGAAAATATGGATACAATTGGGAATGGGCATGGAAAAGAGGTTTAGCGAACAACAATCACTGGATGAATAAGTTAACTGCGATGGAGCTCTTACAAGTCCTTGGACCAGGCTTGAGAATAGGCGCGATGATTGCAAAAGATACGTGGGTACATTCTCTTTATGCAGCTGCCAAATCTCAATCCTTGCTAATATTGACAGTGTTAAAAACAAGATGACGAAAGGCGATGGGATGTCATATGCCGAGTTTACATATCCTTTATTGCAATCATGGGATTGGTGGCACATGTACAATACAAAAGGCATAACAATGCAGATTGGAGGATCCGATCAATATGGCAACATCACCGCTGGTATTGATGCTGTCAAGTACATCATTGCGAATCATCCTGATCCTGTGATTAGGGACATGCACAAGAACGCAACCCCACCTGTCGGATTTACAGTTCCCCTGCTCACCACATCATCAGGAGCTAAGTATAGCAAGAGCGCTGGAAATGCTATATGGCTGGACAAGGACATGATGAGCTCTTTCGATTTATATGCGCATTTTCTTCGTACATCAGATCAAGATGTAGAAAAATTCCTCAAACTTTTCACATTTATGCCTCTTGAGCAAATCACCACATTAGTGGAGGAACATATGAAGGAACCTTCTAAACGACAAGCTCAACACAAATTGGCGCGGGAATTTCTCGAGCTGGTTCACGGGCTACCGGCAGCCAAGGCGGCCGAGCTTTCTCACCGACTTCTTTTCAGTAAACCTGATGATGAAAAGAGCGTAAAGGCGTTGCAGGATGAGTTGAAGAAAGTCGAGGACCGTATGGCATCTAGTTCGACACCTTTCAGCGCGTCCCATAGGCCAAGGGCAGATCTTAAATTACCACATTCTTTCGTTTATACGAGGAGTATTGCAAGAATCATCGTCGCCGCTGGCCTTTGTGCCACAGCTTCGGAAGCGAATCGTTTGTGTGGTTCCTCGGGAATTTACATCGGTGGATCCAGACCTTTGGGATATGTAGGAAAGGACGATGTCTTAACTTTTACCCCAATTAAAACATGGAAAAATGCGGACACCCATCACTACCTCATCGACCGTGAATTGCTTGTTCTTCGACGTGGAAAGTCCAACATACGAATCATCAAAGTCATCCCAGACGAAGAGTACATTGCAGAAGGATTATCATTCCCCGGTAACGAAGAATGGGTCACACAGAAAACCCCAACATTGTTCAACGAGAAGGGCGAAATAATTGAAGCGGAAAAGAACCCTAATGTAGACAGACTTGGGGTGGACAGAACGGATAGGGAGGAGATCATGCGATTGAGACAGCTCAGAAGAGAGAAATCGCATAAAAATACACAGGATAGATGGCAGGCACGTGGAACAAGACACGATGATAGAACGCAGCAGCTTAAACCCGACCTTGACGGGCCGGAATTTGCGGTGAAGAAAGTGTACTCGCGTCCATCTGCGGAGTGGGATTCCTTTTCAGAAAAGGTAGAATCGCAGACACATTCAAATCCAGACGGTTTAGTGAGGAAAATAGGCTCAAAAAATTCACCGCCGGGGTTTATAAATCCATTGGCTGGCAATTCTGGAGGCGACAGGTCAGACTATTAAAGTGCAGCTGTACTATTATATTATGTATTGATAGATATATTTTCTACTTGATGAACAATGTTTTCACCCGTCCTAGCTCTCCATACTCAATCCTCAATTGTGTGAAATGAGGTAAAAGCCCGTCCTAAAGAGAAATTACGATTCGCGGCCATTGACTAATCGTCATGTGAGATTTGAGTATGTAAATTACACCATCGTTCGCCTGTACCGTACTTCAAAGTTCAGTTCCCACGGTTTGTGTCTCGTCGATCAGCACCTCAAATTTCTTTCCATTCTCCCTTCGTTATATGCTGGTACTCGAACTTGCTTAAGCACTATAGTCATTACTGTAGTCATATTCTGGCACTCTGAATTAAATACCGATACTTAGTTTCTTTCTCCTTCTTTAATACTCGAGTACTAACAGAACAGGGTTAGAAATTGAAGATCAGCCGACAATGTGATTGCTAATTCGTATATGGATATACTGTATGAATGCACTGCCCTGCACTGTATAGGAATGGATGTTTGCAGTGACCCTACTCGAGTATATAATGACATGCATGGTATTGTTCGATATTACTTGGATATTGCGATGTTACTCCCAATGAGCATCTAATACCACTACAGAGGATGTCCGTCTACTGTATATTGCCGGCAAAGCCGTCTGGAAGGCCTTTGGAGGTTTAGAATCTAGATGAATAGAGTATGGAGTGGAAAAGTTTGATTAGTTTATTTTCTACATGTGTTGACATGACTCTATAAGATCTTGCGCATAGGATGTGACTATTATCTTGAATATGCGAAAATTCGGCATGACCAAGAGTTATCCTAGCTCTAATTGGCAAGCCCGTTCCCATTAACGACAGCCACTTCGCCAACTCCTTCCCCCTTGCCATTTATAACGACACCGTTCACTTTTTCCGTTCTAGCTTTCCCATCTCTAAGCTCTTCGGTCGTGTTCACCAAGATCTCGAAAGCTCTGCGAAGATACTTTTCTTCGGCCTTGGGATTCGCACTCACAACCCGGATGGCATAGTTGCCTCCCACCACACCAGATGTTAGATAAATTTCGCCTCTGTTGTTGATAAGCTCATACACTCCTTTCGTAATACTATTCTGTGCATCGATCCCCGCTGATTTAGGAACAATATTAAGAACTGTGAGCGCGAAGTTAGGCCCAGTAATGATATTAAACAGATCTTTCCTGGTTTTGAGCAGACTAGCAAACAGTTCTCCAAGTTTCACATGGCTTCTGATATGCTCTTGTAATCCCCGTACTCCATATGTTCTTAGCACGAACCAAATCTTCAAGCTTCTGAATCTCCTTCCGAGAGGAATCTGCCAATCTCGATAATCGGTGACTAGTCCACTCTCCGAAAATTCATTGCGAAGGTAACTAGGTGTTATTGATAAAGCATCTATCAGATCTTTACGTTTCTTGACATAGAGACATGATGCATCGAAGTTTGTGAGCAGCCATTTGTGCATATTCATATCGAATGAATGAAAATGCTGGAAAGACGAAGTTAAATGATGGTATTCAGGGCAAACCAAAGCCGCACCCGCGTAAGCAGCATCAACGTGAACCCAGATCTCGCCGGGAACATCTGGAGGGGCATATCTCGAGAGTAATTTTGCGATGGATTCGAAATCGTCAACTGCGCATGTAGCAGTGGTTCCTAGCGTCGTAGTGAGATAAAATGGCTCCAATCCTTGAGATTTGCATTCTTTTAATATTTTTTCTAGATCATCACCAGTCATGCCAAAATCATTAGTACCAAGTACTGGAACAGATCGGTATCGAACGCCAGCAATCTGCGCTGCTTTCTGCGTAGAGCTGTGTGCCAATTCGCTTCCTAGTGCAACGAGCTTACTCCTCTTGTATGCAATTGCATCTTCGAGTTCGATCCCAGACAGGCCTGCAGTGGTTTCACGAAGGTACTTGTCTCGTGCAGCAACCATTACGGTCACAATTGCCTCGGAGGCCGATCCTTGGATGACCCCACCTCCGTGAGTAGAGGACAGATAACAGTCGGGTAGATTTAGGAGCTTGGCCAGCCAGTCCAATACAACCGTCTCCAATTCCGTCACTGCGGGAGAACAAATCCAGTTGAAAGCAGGGGCCGTGAAGGCTGCTGAGTACAGCTCGCCGAGCATTCCTGGATAGGTAGAAGATGCGGGGAAGAAAGCCATGAAATTGGGCGATTGCCTAACCATATTAGCACGCATGTTGATATTCAAAGACACTAGACTTACCAATGTGTCAAACCAGGCATGATTTTTGTTTCGATATCTTTCTGGATATCCGCCCACGATTCACCTTCTTGGGGTGGACCATCGGGAAGAATTTTCTTCAAATATCCAGGCTCAACATTTGACACCACTCTTCGCTCGTGGATATTGTCGTAGTATTGAATGACTAAATTCGTCAGAATACACTAATCAAATTTGAAGAACACTCACTTACTCTCATCAATGGCCGACATCGCCGCCTCTCTAAACTGCTGCGAATCCATTTTTGTTGGTGGGCAATATGTATGTACAACTGAAGCAAAGGCAAAATGTAAACATCAACAGGAAGCGAGAAATGTCCCAACTCTCGTCTCTTAAGAAATATCTGTATTTAAGAGAAATGTTGCCTGCAAGATGTCTTTGAAGGGCGTATGAATGTTAAGTCTTTAAAAAATCACCCACTGTTTTGGTAGCAAATAGCGGCGGGAACCAGCGGGTGGAATTCGCTCCGCTTTTTTGAGCTAGCTTTCTCTAAGCGAACTCATTGAACCACCAGATTCTTATCTCTTCGAACTTCGAAGAGCTCGTCCGAGATTCGTAATATCCAGTTTAATTGTCTCTAAAACGTGATGTTAGATTACGAGTACAACACAAGGATGTTTACGATCATGCTCGATGAACACGTCAAAGAATCGAGCAAGTTGGCGATAACGATCCTATAAGAAGTGCTTCGGATTTTATGAAGTAAAGTCTGTCGTCATGCAGATAGCAGATAAATATGATGTTAAATATCGAAGCAAACAAAATGGACCATTTGGCTGAAAGGTTTCACACCAGCCACCCTTCGGCCTTCTAACACTTTGAGCACCAGTCTCTCTCTCTCTCTTTTTCTAAGAATGAAAACAATGATCGAAATTGATATCTGGGACTATCCCGATCGAATTCGAACAATGCAACAATAGTGTTCCAGCTCGACTTGAATGGTGAAATCGTCGGTGTAACAGCAGAAGTCTGCGTGCGGAAGATGACTGAATGAAGAGGGCCACCCAGCCATTCGGTATAACCAGTCAACCATGCTTCCAATTTCGGGTACAATCGTAAAGATAAATCTAAGACTAATAATAGGCTGCGCAGAAATACTCCGCTACCCATGGGTACCCACAGATAATCCGCTCCACGAGGGATCTATTAATAATATTATTTATCTATAGAGTATTGTGACGGAACAGACGGCTCTCTTCCGCCCACTGGCTCATACTACATACATAGCATAATACAACAGCTCTCTTGGACCTTCCTTTCACAGTCTAGAGCCTTAGCTCTACAGCTCTAGACCTAGACATTGTATAAGTCAACTACCCTACTTTCGGGCCACCCCCCCTTTCGGGCCACCCTTTCACACCAAAAACAGTGATTTTCGAATATTCACAATTCTATCAATATTGAATCTAATTAAATGAAATTTTGAAGATATATTCTATATATAGTTATTAGCTCAGTTATAGTTTTTTAGATTTTTCATGATTTTATATAAAAAGTTATAAAAGTTTAAAAATCAAGGTTTTCATTTTGTATACGATTTATATACAAATTTCAAAATATTCTAAAGATCTTAATAACTATTTAACAAAAATAAATAAAAATAAATTTATAATTTTTATATAATATTTGAACATATATTATTATAGAAATCAATTTCAATTTCAACAAAAATTAATGTTTAATCTTTTATCTAAAATTCGAAATATTTTGATCAAAAATTTGATCAAAAAAACGACTATTACTAATAAAACTTTAAATAT